GGTTGAGAAAGTAACGCAACCTTGGGTGTCGCACCCGACTAAGGGATTCTAAAGGAATCCCTCCTCCCTTGACCTGCGAGAGGCAGATGCCCTCTGAGTGTCCAGCGGTTCTCCCCGCCTCTCCGGGAGGAACGTCACAGTGTTCCCCTGACGCCCCAGGTTCTTTCCCTAGTTTGTGCAGGAGCACACGCTGCTTTCTCTGCCAAAACCCAAAGCGTTTCCCACCCTGGTCCTCCCTTCTTCCCCTGGAAAATGTCTGACTCCTTTCTCAAGAGTCAGCTCATGTGACCTCCTTGGTGAAGGCTTTCCCGGTTCTCATCTCTCTGTCTCCCCACTGAAGTGGGACGTCTGCAGAAGTAAAAGCTGTTCGCTCTTGGTCTACCTCCAGAACACAACAGAGACCCCAGTGGCACACAGTAAAGTATTTTTGGATGAAGTATGTCTTTCCAAGAAACAACGTGTGTTATGGAACTGAAGGAATTAAATAATCCTGGTAAACACCAAAGTATTGGTTCAATATAAAGGCCTGAGAGTGTATGAAAATGTGTTTTCTTTCTTTTGTCATCTCTTATCCTAGTTTCATTGACTCCCCAATTCATACCTGCTTCAGGTTTCTGTCATCTCTACCTGCCAGCAGATGAGTTTCCAGAAACCTAATGTTTGATACAGACGCGATGAACTTCCCTACCTCCAACTTCTGTTTCGTGGGCCTCCTATCCATGATTGACCCGCCTCGGTCCACGGTTCCTGATGCAGTCACCAAATGCCGGAGCGCAGGGATCAAGGTGGACTTAATCTTCCTGACCCAGCAAGCCCTCCGTTCACGTTGTGTCCCTTGCTGAGAACATTTGTCCCAAGAGAGTATTTAGGTGTCTTCAACCAAATACCACAATTCCCCTTTTTTAATTTCTACTTTTACTATACTTCCAGTAACTGTCCCCTGAAAGCAAAACGATTGTGTCTGTGTGGTATAAACCACAAGAGTAACTGCTGTGAGGAGAAAGCTGTCTCCCTGTGCCATGAGGCGGCCCTATCTCACCTAGACCTTGAGAGACGGTAAAAGGTTTTATTACTTAATCTTGAGGTGCAGCTTCCAGAATCCATGTGAATTCCATCACCACGTTGACTCCAAGACTGTCGGAGCAACATGAATCTGCCCGAGGAGACGCCCGCCAGCCCTTGCACCGATAAAGTTACGTCGAAGGGATGGGCTTCATTTACTTTCAGGAGAGGAAATGTTAGAAGCTCAGGAGCAAGCACAGATCGAGTGGGACCAGTGTGTCCTTCAAGGACAGCTTGTTTCTTTGACCTAGAGATCAAGAACCGCCCATGAGGGCAGACCACAGTTGTCACTAATCGTGCTCAAGGTGGAGTAGGTGACCCTACTCCGGTCCCTACTCCAGTCAGCTGGCTTCCTCAGTGTCCACCTGCCTTTCTCACTGTGTTTTAGGTCATTATGGTTACGGGTGATCATCCAATCACGGCCAAAGCTATTGCCAAGAGTGTGGGGATCATTTCGGCCAACAGCGAGACCGTGGAAGACATCGCAAAGCGCCTCAACATTGCTGTGGAGCAAGTTAACCAGCGGTAAGCTCGGAGCCACCGCGACAGAGCTCAGGCTCTTACCCGCGGGCCCTGTTGCCTCTGAAGAGCGGTGCTGTTGGAAGCAAAGCCCCTTTTTGCCAAACATTTCCCTCAGGGTAGTGCTAGGCTGGTTTATGCTATAATTTATATATCCATCCATTACTCAAAATTTTATTGAGTGCCTAATATGGGCCAGGCACTGGACTGATCCCGTGAAAATTACCTTTA